TTTAATATTATTTAAGCTAATTGCCTGTATGTTTGATGGCCAAGCGTGAGAATGGTTTCCTTGCAGCTATCATTGTGTTAGTGTTGTTTTAGTTGACAGTCTGTTGGTATTAGTATAAACGTTCGGCCCTTTGATGCAAAGAAGTAGAAAACAGATCAGTGTATCAAATCTTCGATCAGGTGACAATCCTCACACGCCTGTTGACCTGGTGATTAGTGTCATGAAACCCATTCATGTGCGTTGGCTCGTGTCTGCTCTTGACAAGCTTGTAAAGGACACTGATGGGATAATTTGTGGCTGGTGCCAATCTGTGCTGCTTGACAGGATACGAACTGATCACTACTCAACTTCACTTTGTGTAGGTGACTTTGTTATTTGAAAAATTAATGCGCATAAAACTAATGCGACCTTCCGTCACTTGCATTTTTCGCATTAATATTCTGCTCGCATTAATTTCCTGTTTTACAGTAACTTATTACAAACTGAGCTAAACAAGGGTTACCTCATTGGTCCTTTCACTGAAACCCCTTTTCCCTGTCATTGCATCAATCCCATAGGGATCGTCGAAGGCAAGTACTCTCGGAAACAACGCATGATTGTTGATTTATCAGCACCGCATAACGACCATGACAATCCAAGTTTAAACTCGCTCATCGACAAAGAACAGTACTCCCAAGTGTATGTCAAGCTGGATGACGCCATACAAATCATCAAACATCTTTGACGACACGCCTATCTGTGCAAAGCTGATATTGTGGATGCTTTCAAACTGATACCCATACATCACTCTCTCTGGCATCTACATGGTATCCATTGGGACAATTGCTTGTACTACTTTACCAGACTGGTCTTCGGATGCAGATCCAGCCCTAAAATTTTTGACATGTTATCTCAAGCCATCTGTTGGATACCAACCCAGGTGTACCACATTCCTCATATTCTTCATCTTCTGGATGATTTTCTCACAATAGACGCAAATGAGGACGATGGCAATGCAACCATGAGTAAATTGCGACATCTCTTCAATGATCTCAAGATTCCTTTGTCTCCAAGGAAAACAATTGGCCCTATGACATGTTTAGAGTACCTGGGTATCATCCTAGACACTGACAAGATGGAAGCGCGACTCCCAGTTGATAAAGTAGCTCGGATCATTGCTATCGTCAATTCAGTCCAAGAGAGAAGAAAGGTCACCAAACGACAACTGTTGAGTGTATTAGGACATTTAAATTTCGCAATGCAGGTAATTAAACCTGGTAGAGAATTTGTTAGCTACCTGCTCAAGCTTGCGCATTCTGTCCCCCAACTAGACTTCTTGATATGGCGTTCATTTTTAACAGACTGGAACGGCAAATCATTCTTCTACGAAGACGAGATCGCAGCACCAGAGATAGAACTCTACACAGACGCTGCAGCATCCATCAGTTATGGTGCTTATTTTCGGGGTAAATGGTTCGCGCAGCAGTGGCCAACAGACTTGCTCGATATCCTGAATGGTGACCTGTCAATAGCACTACTTGAACTGTATCCAATTGTCATGGCTGCTACAATTTGGGGAAATCACTGGTCAAGGAAAACCATTAAGTTCCACTGTGAACACACTAGCACTGTAGAGATCATCAATAAGTGTAGATCAAAATCACCTTTCATCATGAGACTTGTCAGGAAGCTTGTAATGACCGCTGCTTGTGGTAATTTTCATTTTGTTGCTGTGCATGTACCAGGTAAAGACAATTGCATAGCTGATTCTTTATCTCGCTTACAGATGGACAGATTCAAGAAGCTAGCTCCCATGGCAGACAGTGCGCCTACCCCATGTCTTCAAATCACAGCAATCACCATTCCACCTGCTCAGATCTCAACAAACTCTGGTCACAAGCACTCTCAAAGAAAACGCAGGCGGTGTATAAATCAGGAATTCATACTTTCCTGACCTTCATGGCCATGTGTAGTGTACGCTGGTCACCTGCTGCTTTGCCTCCTATCACAGAACAAACCCTATTGTGTTTTGTAGCACACTGCTTCTACAAACTACATTTTAAGTGTACAACAATCAGGAGTCATCTCGCAGCTGTGAGATTTGCTTATCTAAGACATGGAATTGAGAATCCATGGTTGGCTGGTAACACTCTGAGGCTAGAGACCATCATGAAAGCAATCAACGAATAGAGAGTGTGCCGACAGCAGAGCGTTTACCTATAACTATTCATGTTTTGTGCAATTTGTGTTTCCAACTGGACAAGCGTTTGTTCAATCATTATACCAACGTGTTATTGCAGGCTGTATTTAGTCTAGCTTTCTATGCCTTTTTGAGATGCGATGAATTCACTTGTGCCAAATATGTGTATCAAAAACATTTATTCATGAGTTCGATTACCTTTGACAAGAATTACACCTGCTTTGATCTGTATCTCAAGCAGTCGAAGACTGATCAGCTTGGGAAAGGTGTGACAATTACTGTACTTGCAGTGCCCGGACCAACTTGTCCCGTCCAGGCAATGAAAGACTATGTTAACTTGTGCAATCAGTCTCAGGCACTTGCCTCGGATCCATTGTTTCTCACCGACTGTGGTATACCTCTCCACCGTGACTATTTCATTCATAAACTACATCAGATCAGACTCTGGCGGCAGCAGGATATGACTATAAGAAATTCAATGGACATTCCTTTAGAATCGGAGCAGCCACTTCTGCAGCTGCAGCTCATGTACCAGACCATATGATTAAAGCCTTAGGACGCTGGAAATCAGACTGCTACGCTAGGTATATCAGAGTTGACAAGGGCTCCATAGCTTCAGCTCAGCGCAATATTGCTCATACTTAGCATGCTCAGTGGCAAATCTTATGGTTGATTCTTGCTTTGTCTGACCTTGTCAAACAATCTTCATATGCAGTGTCACAATGGTGTAATGTTTTAGAGTAAGCCTTGGCATTAACGTCCACTTCCACTTGTTGTTCAGGTATATATACCTTACCATCCTGTACGTAATTACTTGGTATTATTTTCCTTATGGGGTATTCTCAGCCAGCTGTATCGGGGTATTCTCGGCCAGCTGTATCGGGGTATTCTCAGCCAGCTGTATCGGGGTATTCTCAGCCAGCTGTATCATTGTATTTTATTTTTTTCCACATCTGACTCTCAAATTGTGGCCTTACTATCCTCAGCTTGCTTGGATAGTTTCCCCCTAAAAGTTCAATAATCCACATCCAACTTGTATGCTACTTGTATCCTCATTAATTGCATCATTTTGTACTGTTATGTGTAGTCACTCGCTGTGCTCTGATGCTCAGAAATATAGCCAGCGTTTGTTCCCAATGCTTGGGCATGATTGATGCTCGATCATGTACACACTTAGTCTTGTGCCAACGATTTGGCCTTCCAGCTTCGCTTTGTCATGTTAGTAATTGCAAGTGGCCAAATCATTTCCAATGCTTGGCATGATTGATGCTCAATCATGGGCACCCTTAGTCATACCTGAGAATTCCCCATATGCCAAACTTATAATTTGTATTTTATCATAATAAATGTTTGAAACTACTTTGTGTTTGGTTGTCATTATAAACTGATTGCACATTGTACCAAAAAAATATTGTCTAAACTAGGACCCACTGAAGTTGACATATATTTATATTATACATGGGAAAAAAAATAAAGTATTCCTGCTTGTTTCAACAGGCTTCCAATCTTGAAAGCAACAGCAGGGTTGCAGGCTCTCCTCCCACATTAAAGCATTTTATTATAACCCCGTTTACGAAGTAAATCGGGGGTATATAACGTTCCGTTCGTCCGTCCTTCCGTCCGAGCTTTTGTACGGCAAATAACTTTTTAACCATGCACCCTAGCTTCACCAAACTTGCTACACACATTTACCACAATGAGTACTTGTGCCTTTTGCTAGTTTGAAGATTCTGAACTTTTTAATTTTTGCCGTTTCCATGGAAACATTAAGAAACTTAAACTTTTAGGGTGGGTGTTTTGTACGGCCTATATCTTTTTAACTATGCACCCTAGCTTCACCAAACTTGCTACACACATTAACCACAATGAGTACTTGTGTCTTTTGCTAGTTTGAAGATTCTGAATTTTTTTATTTTTTGCCGTTTCCATGGAATCATGGTGAAACATAAATTTTGGGTAGAGTTTTTGTACGATCTATGTTTACAATATTATGTATCCTAGCTTCAGCAAACGTGCTACATTAACCGCTATGATTGTTTTTTATCTTTTATAAGATTCTGAAAGTTTTGACTTTTGCTGTTTTCATGGAAACATGATGGAATTTAGAAATTTTGATGACTGGTTTTGTATAGCTAATATATTTTCAAAAATTGTTTCCACACATGTAGATCATCATAAGTATCTGTGCTTTGTGATAGTTTGAATTTATGAATTCTTTACCATATCTGTTAAGGCTAGATGGAAATTATTAATTTATTGATTTTCTTATATGATATTGTTCCATTTTTTATGTGTTTTTATATCAACAATTTTGGGTCCTTTTGATAATTCTTCTTATGTAACTCCTCAATCAAATTTTTATTCAAAGGTGTTCATGGTGATCTACTTCCTCGTAGTGAACACTGGTAACATGGGAGATTGGGGGGGGGGGGGGGCGGCAATTGTCACTGGAACTCAATCTTAGTTTTTAAAACATTGAAGTTAAAATCAGTTAGAAATATGTAATATTTCATTAATTAACAAACTATTTACTATTTGTTGTTGACCAGCAGGGATAACAGGGGTATGTGAGCTTTGCTCACTTCTTTCTTGTTATACCAGCTGACCTGTAGTTAAACTGAAAGCTAATGAAGAATTGAATTGCTTTTTGTATATTTTCCCACCTACCGACTGGTATTTTCATGTAAAAAATATGTTAAGCAAGTTTAAAAAAAGTGTGTCCCTACAGTAGAGACTTTTCTAAATGGAGCAGTTAAAAAATGTCATAAAGTGCATGCTTAATATTGATAAATGAGATGGGTGTTTGGTCATTGTATTTCAGATTTGGACAATGCCACTACTCACTTGAGCTCAGTGTTAGACCAAATTCAGTATTTGAATGGCAGTGCAACACAACTGAAGACCGATCTTGCAGCAGTGAAAAGCCAAATAGACACAGCCTGTAGTGGTGGACCCTGTACTGGTGCTCCAGATACATCTGGCCTTAGGATGGGTTTTGACGAGAGTCGGGTAAGGCTAATGTTTAGCTCATCTGGCTTATTTTGTCACATGTCATCTGTTGCGTCGGCTATGTACTTTGTGGATGTTTGTTTGGGGGGTATTTTGGATATGGCTGCTAGGTAACCATCTTTGATTTGGAGATTAAATATCTGTTTCTCAAAATGATAATGAGGCAACATGATCCTGAATCTTTGTCCGATGGTCATCTTGTGTTGTACGAAATTTTACATTTATTCTATCTCTCACTATGCATTCGGTCCTAAGTGGAAATGTGTTTGAAATTCCAGCTTCTGAAGTTAATTCGGCTGTACATACCTCACATTGCCATGGTCACCTCTCAGATCCAGATCCCAACATGCTCAGACCATGTGTCTATCCCAGCCAACTCATTTCTCTTTCAAATCGCCACACAAAAAAATTGTTCTTCTTTTTCATCTTCTTGCCTGCATCGTCTTTACCATGAGCCATGCGTTTTTTTCTTTGAGTGCTAACCTCAGTTTATTGGCCAGACCTTCACTTATATCCTTTTTTTGGTTAGTTTGTTTCTTCATCATGGACAAGCAGCCCTCCTGGCGACCAGTATGTATGATGTGCCAACATGTCTTTTCTCCTTCAGACCCTCACTCCAAGTGTTTGGATCGTTGTAGAATGTGCAGTATTTAAGAGCGCTGTCAGCTCTCTGTCGGCACTGTGTATGAGATTGTTTATCCAACATTACAGAAAATACGACAAAGTCCAAGAAGACACCTGACAAGGAAGCTAGATCATCGGACCGAGGGCCAGGATACTATGTATGAACCCTACCAGTTCTATATTTTCTCTGGTTGAGGATGGAGTTTCCGAACCCTTTCTCAATGAAGACACCTTGAGCGTCTGCACAAACCTACCATCGAAGTCAACTCTACCCATGACAGCTCCCAGACTCGGACGTTTGCTAAGTTGAGACCAACCTTATTACGTCATCTTAACTTCACGAGAACTCCCGGCTGCATCAAATTCTACCGAGGACCGTACTCTTGCTTCGTCATTCTCTATTATTGTTATGGAGCTTGTAATCCCAGAGAGTACACACACGATTGGTACCTTGCCCGATCTCACATGTTCTTTCTGTTGATCGAGATCTCCCATTCGATGATCTTCTAAGGATCGATCTTCACAGGACCACCATACGCTGTCGTCTGACGACTTGTCTGACCAAGGTTTGCGGACTTCCCACACTCGAAAGGTATCGGAAGAGGGTTGTCATTCGTCATATGAGGATTGACACACAACAACTTGTCGATCAAATAATCATCTAGCATCTACAGTCACCTCAATCTTTCCGGAACAACCATCGTAGGATCAGCACCCCCAGTTTTGGATCGGCAGTCAGAGGTTTGCCAAATTCAGGCCCGAAGAACCTTCCACTCTTGGCACAAAACATTAAGACCACTCACAGGATCATCAACCATCAAAGGTTTGTCGAATCTCGGAGATTTGACAGTCTTCGGATCGAACACCTTCAGGGAATCATCCTGCACCTGAACCTCGTCGAAACTCTGAGGTTGGACGAACATCACTGAACCTCTTCGGGAACACAGCATACATGGAATGATACTGTAAATCTGGAAATTAATGCGACTCCAAATTAATACCCCAAACCAAAAATGTGACTCAATATCAATGCGACTCCTCCAACCCCATCCCCAGTGGAATGATACGCATATTCTTACCATAATCCAATCAACATCATAGCACTTCCGCTAAAACAATAAACAGGGTTTTCCTTAAAACAACACACAGTTTACCGGGTATATGTTTATTCTGAAGACTGGCATTAAGGAAGTTCAAAGGCAATAAAATAATTGAACCAACAACAGTTCACTGATTGCTATGTGGAGAACGTGTCAAGAAGCTTGACACAAGTGGGTAGAACTCGTGACCCCAGCAGTAATACCTCACTGGATGCCCATTGTGTAGATCCTATCCTTAGAATCACATTGTTATATACTTGTTACAAATGCTGCTCAATAAACCGTGTTTGTGTTTATTTTCAAGTTGGCATTTCCACTATCCAAAGTGTGCAGTGATCCCGTCTTATTGATAGTCATTTTGGAGACATAAATATGAAGTTAATTAATGTGAGAAAAGAACACTTGCATTTATGGCATTTATTTCAAGCTCCCATTAATTTCAAAATTTAAGTAAACAGACCTCTAAGGATGGACATACTTAGGTTCGTTGAACCTCCAAGGATCAGGAGGGCAGTCGGGTAGCCTAGTGGATAAAGCGTTTGTTCGTCACGCCGAAGACTCAGGTTCGATTCCCCACATGGGTACATGTGTGTGAAGCCCATTTCTGGTGTCCCCCGCCGTGATATTGCTGGAATATTGCTAAAAGCGGCGTTAAACCATACTCACTCACACACTCCAAGGATCAGGGATGTTCGATAGACTGATACTCTCCTAAGACTCGACGAACCCCTATGGATTGACTTTGTCCTGCGGATCGTTACTCATCTTATGACAGATGATCAAGGAATCGTTCACCTACTCATCATGTTTCACTAAAGACTATTCAGATTTGTCACGCTTGGGTTCAGAGGATGAACGCTACATTCTCTTGGACATACATCCTATATGACTTCTTCTTCTACTCATCTAGATATCTGATTTTCACCAATGTTCGGATTATCCTTGGATTCCAACTTCATGCAACACTTATGCAAATGAATGAGAACGTTACCCACATTATGGAGATTCTTTTCCTTCATGGTATGGATACGACCAAACTTTTCGGCCAAGTCATTTTTCCTCTTCGCGCCAAGATGTTTCTCCCCATCAACTTTGGGATAAACCACACCTGTTGCCTACTGTTAGAAGATGTCCTACGCCTAAAGATAGGCATCATTCAACGTCGGCTATTAATCGTTTCGGTTCACCCCCTCCACCCTGATTCAATGACCTCCTGCTGTGACTGAACCATAGGTCCCGACAACATCAAAGGCTCTACCCCAAGTTATCCTATGTCGTTAAATCCTGGTAATCTTCCTGCCATCCCAGCACAACAGATCAGCTCTTTGTTACAAGTGAGAACAGTGGAATACCTCCTAAGTCAACAATCAAACTACCGACCTCGGCATCTCATTCCACGTAGACAGCTGCTACATCTTCTTTAGTGGATCCAACACCAGAAATAGTCACCGGATCACTATACTTCCCCGCCTTCATCCTCGGGGAGTTTTGACATAGCCAACCCAGTTACCCTTCTCATCCGGTTTGCAGATAAACTGCATCTTACCAAAAGAGTCTCGACAGAGGACACCCATTCTTTTTTTGTTTCCACTTCTGCCTCCTTTCCTTACATCACACTTCCTCCTAGGCAAGTCTTCCAGGACATGGCCACCAACTCAGATAAAGCCTTTGATTCTTTTCACCGACTACGTGTTCCTATCCAGTCTCCGGGCTTTGCAGGGCTGATGCAGGTACTCATGAATTAGCAACAGTTGCTCCTGAGTTGGACGGTGACATTGCAATTTCAGCTCCTAAGCATCTCTTTTCTTGCTCTTCGGTGAACGATAGGGATCTCATGCACCTCGACACTAGAGTTTGGAGGACACTTGATTTCCACCATTCTGTTGGCGACAGAAGAGCTCTCGTCTGGCCTTGGTTCATGCCTCTGTCATAGCGACTGATTTACAACACCCATTGTCTGAAGAACATTAAATTGCAAAAGCTCATTACCCTGGAGCCATGACATCTATATGCCTTGAAACACTTAATTGCTGTTATTTATAAGATGCTCATCCTAATTGTTAATCCCCATTTTTGTGTACATCGACCGTCTGCCATCCTGAACGAGATGTGCAAGTATGTCACTGATGAATTACTGTTTATATTTATATTTATATTTATTACTTACTAAATGTCAGGTGACCTTGGCTATATAAGCCTTGGTCCAGAGAGAGGGAAGGAGAACAGAAAGGTCTTACCCTTAGCCTAGCTAGGGTTAGGCTGGGGGCTCCGGGGCACCTAGACAACAACCACTACCACTATGTGCTGACCTGGCACATAGTGTCTTTTGTATGTATATATCTACATGTATAAAGTAAAACTGTATATACCGCAAGCCATCGTCTCCAAGTTGTCACTTCCTACTGAGAACCGTACGTCGGCCCCTTGCATATACGAGTATGCAAATTATTCATTAATCAACGTCAGACCAACGCGTTGTTACGTCTTCCCCAGGAGAATCGTAAATCACAGGTGCCGTAACCCTCATTCAATACAAGACATCAGATGTCTTAGATCTCTTGGCTCACCGTGCAGGTTCATTCATCACTCTTCGCAGACATGGTGTTTTGCAACATTGTTCTGGGATGACCAATTTAATAACCCGTTATATCAACAACCATTGTCTACAGATTTGGAGGCCTCCGGGAGGTTGCACATAAAGTCGAGAGGGACACTTCTTTTCAAGTCACTGTTGTCTAACTCGTCTCCAGCAGAACAGAGAAAAGATCTGAAATGACCGACCTTCACTCCCTCTCATCCTTATGCCAAAGGCATTCTGAGTAATCATTCTGCTCCCCTCGTGGCTGCGGTCGAGGACGCCAAAGTCAGTGAGGAGGTAAATTGAACAGACGTAATGTCTCCTTCTTAGGACCCACTTGCTCTCCGAAGTCGGGAGACACAACCTCGAAATGACATCTAGACATCCAAGTGACTGGATTCTTCTGCCTCCAGGCAGATCTACAAGACATATATTTACACGTGCCAATTCTTCCAGAGCACCGCCCTTTACTTCGGTTCATGTTCCTAGACCAATGGCGTGTGCTCCCATTTGGTTATTTAGTTGCCTCACAAGACCCATTGTCAAGTTCCTACACATTTGAGGTATCACCTCCACATCATACATAGACAACTGCATTCAAGCCAATAAAGATTCAAACACTCTTCACTCTTTCTCCAACACCTCGTTTTCACACGACAATCATCAACACCAAAAAGTCAGAAATGATTGCTACACAG